TGGACGTCTCCTGGGGCCTTTTGGGCCCTCGGGAAGCTTTTGCGGTCCTCTTGCGGCCTCATGTGGGCCTTTTGGGGGGAACGCTCTGCTGTTGGGTCGCGTTCCCCGTCTTGGGCCTCTCTTGGGGCTCTTGGGGCCCTCTCGGGCCGTCTTGGGCGCCTCAAGCACCGTCTTGGGGCCCTCGCGGGCCGTCTTGGGGCCCTCTTGGAGTCCTCTTCCTCTATATGGGAGCGGGATTGGAAGCCTCTTGGGCCGTCTTGGAGCATCGGGATGCCAAAAGGCCGAAAAAATTAAAACCCGTCAATGCCCAATCGTAAAACTATGAGTTGTGCCTCTTGGGGCCACCTTGGGAGATCTCTTGGAACCTCGTCGGCCCTCTTGGGAGCTTCTTGGGGGCCTCTTGGTTCCGATTGGGGGCCTCTTGGGACTTCCCGAGAACCTCTCGGGGTAGAAAGCTCGGATTCTCGGTTCGTGCTTCCCTTCTTGAGCCTCTCTTGGGGCCGTCTTGGGGCCCTCTCGGGCCGTCTTGGGCGCCTCAGGCACCGGCTTGGGGCCCTCGTGGGCCGCCCTGGGCCCTCTTGGAAGCCTCTTCGGCTATCTTGGAGCTGTCTTGGAGACCTCTTCCTCCTCCTCGCCCCCCTCCTCCTCCTCCAACTCCAGCTCTCTCTCTCTCCTCCTGATCTTCCTCCTCCTCCTCCTGCAGCGTGTTCCGGAAGGCTCCCGCTGGAACATGCTGTGCACAAGTGCTGTCACTGCTCCCGCCACCGTGCCCTGGGTGGTGGGTCAGAGGCCTCATGGGTGTTGGTTTGGATCTCGTGGTTGGCCTGTCGGGGACGTCGTGAAGGCAGTTTCGCAGCTTCCCGGTAGCCGTTTTGGGACCGTTGTTGGGCCTCCTCGGGGCTGTTTCGTGGGTGCCTCTTGGGGGCCTCCTGGGGCCTCTTGGGGGCTACTTGGGCCTCCTGGGGACTCTTCAAGCCGGAGGGTCGAATGTTGGAATCGTGGTCCCCCTCTTGGGCGCATCTTGGGGCTCTGTTGGGCTGTCTTGGGCGACTCTGGGGCCCTCTTGGGGCCCTCCTGGGCCGTCTTGGGGCGCTCTTGGGGGCCTATTGAGCCGTCTTGGAACGTCGGACAGACGAAAAGGCTGGGAGGCCAAAATCGTTCGAAAACCTTCGTAACATTGACGATTTCGGTCTCTTGAAGCGCTCTGGAGAGGCGTCTTGAAGCGTCGTGGAATGCCTTGGGGGGCCTCTCGGGCCGTCTTGTGCCTATCTTGGGCGTCCTGGAGCGGTCTTTCGTCCGGAACGCGCTTGGGCAAGCGCTGGGTTTGGGGAAGGCGAGTGCGAACCGTTCAGGCAGTTTGGGATGCTCGGGGCAAGAGGCGGAAACCATCCTCATAAGACATGCAGTCTTCCTGGAGTCCGCCGGAACGCCTGGAATGATCACGCGCTGCGGTTTCCCATGCCAACGTCCTCGGACGTGGGCGCCCTGCCACGAGCGCGTTCCGGGAAGATGCTCCCGGAACGCGCTGAAAAGATCTCGAGGCTCCCAGGTGGCCTCCAAGAGACCCCAAAAAGTCTGATAGGTACCAAAGTACGGCCCGAAGAGGCCAAAGTCGTATATGTTAAATTGTCTTTTCAATGTTTTTGGCTTCTCGCGTTTTCGAGCTTCCAACGGTCCAAGAGCGCCGAAGAGCCTCCCAAGACCGGCCCAAGACCACCCAAGAGACCCTCAGGACGGCCCCAAGACAGGCCAAGAAGGCTCCAAGACTGCCGAAGAGGCGCCCAGCACAGCCCCAGACCACCCCAGAACGGGCCCAAGATGGGCCCAAGAGCGGGAGCAGGAGGCTTCCAGAGACCTCCGAGAGGCCTCCGGGACCCCCCAGAGGCCCCCAACACAGCCCCCATCCTTGAGAGGCCCCAAAGAGACCCCGACGAGGCTCCAAGAACAGCCCAAGAGAGCTGCGAGAGCCGTCCCGAGAGAGCCCAAAGAGGGTAAAATCGTTGATTTCCCATGGTTTTTCCTATGTTTTTCGCCTTCTCACGTTTTCCCGGTTCCAGCCCTCAAAGATCGAGGATTTTGGGGAGAAAAAAAAGGAATTCCAAGAATTCTATTTTTTCATCCAAATAGAACTCCTACTCGGGGGTCCTACATATCCCCTGACATCTGGCCGGTACCGCGCCTCCCGGCTTCTTAACGTTGTCGCGGAGTGTCCGAAGGCCCCAAGGAATCCAGGAATTGTGGATTTGGGTGAGATGCTCATCCATTCAGGACTCAGGACAGTATGCCCATCCTGAGCGCGCGCTCAAGTTCTAGCCCAGGCCGGGGGGGCGCTGGACGATCTTGGACAACGCTATCAAGCACAGGCGCGCGACGACATCTGAGGAGCTTCTGGGGTGTTCCGCATGCTTCGTCAACTGGCTGTTGGAGGCGCCTCTTGGGTGCTTCTTGGGGGGGCGTCTGAGGGTCCCTTGGGGCCTTGGGGGCATCGGCTCAGTCTGAA